CACCATCAATGGAGAAAACAAGATACTCCATGACAAAAACGGAATTAAGCAATACATACCCACAAACCCAGTCCCACAGAAAGTACTAGAAGGAAAACCCCAACTCAAGAAAGTTAGTTGTACCCACAAAAACACTGGCAACATATAACCTCCCAGCAGTGTAACCAAAGAAGAGAAACACACAAGCACTACTATCAAAAAAATAAACCGGAATAACTACCACTGATTATTAATATCACTTAATATCAATGGACTCAATTCACCTATAAAAAGACACTGGTTAAGAAAATGGATACAAAAACAGGATCCAACCTTCTGCTGTATACAAGAAACACACCTCAACCTCAAAGATAGACACAACCTCAGAGTAAATGGTTGGGAAAAGGTTTTCCAATCAAAGGACCTAGGAAACAAGCAAGTGTGGCTATACTAATATCTAACAAAACTGATTTCAAACTACAATCAATCGGATGACATGGAGAAGGACACTTTATACTCATAACAAGAACAATTCATCAAGATGCAGTCTCAATCCTGAACATCTATGGCCTAATACAAGAGCACCCACATATGTAAAAGAAACATTACTAAAGCTTAAATCGCACATCAAATCCCACACACCAATAGTAGGAGACTTCAACACACTCCACTCTCCCCAATGGACAGGTCAACAAGACAGAAACTTAACAGAGCAATAAGAGAATTAACAGATGTAATGAATCAAATGGACTTAACAGGCATCTATAGAACATTCCACCCAAACAAAAAAGAATATACCTTCTTCTCAGCACCTCATGGAACATTCTCTAAAATTGATCATATACTCAGTAACAAAGCAAACATCCACAGGTACAAAAAAAAAAGTGGAGTAACCCCCTTTTTATCGGATAAAAGTTAGAATTTAATAACAATACTACTCTCAGAAAGCCTACAAACTCATGGAAATTGAATAGTGAACTACTGAATCACCTCTGGGTCAATGAATAAAGAAATTAAAAACTTCCTAGAATTCAACGAAAATGAAGGCACAACGAATCCAAACCTATGGGACACTATGAAAGCAGTGTTATGAGGAAAGTTCATAGCACCGGTTCTTTAGACTGACAAACCCTTATCCAAACTAATCAAAAGGCAAAGAGAGAACATCCAAATTAACTGTCTACTCTATAAATATATCCAGAGAAGTATAAAAATCAGATACTAGATTAGAGCTGTTCAAATTTAATGTTTAACTTTTAAGAGCTATATGTAATGCACTGTCAAGCAAATCCTTGACCTTAGTCAGAGATGGTTTTGAAAGCAAGAATGTTCAGACTACATGTAAGTTGAATAAGTAGTCACATGCACTAATGTAGCAATGTTCAGAGAACAAGAATACTGTATCTTCTTATGTAAGAAATACATAAGTCAACAAATCTATTATAGATAGCCATATTTCTAACAATGCAATTAAACCCTACTGTTGGAAGTACAATGTAAGAAAAGTTATATCTGAAACATCTGGTAACAAAACAAACTGCACATCACAAAGTAATTATGTGAGGGAATATATATGTTAATTAGCCTGGCTTATCTCATGTGTACATGTATTAAAACAGAACACACTCCATAAATACTGGCTAATTTTAAAAAGAACTATTAAAAATAAAAAAAATACCAAGTGTTTTACCAAATGTTCAACAAATATGAGAAGATCCACCTGCTAAAATAGAAGCTTCTGCTCAGATTTTAATCCCTAACATTAAGTTTTGAACTCAGACAAGTAAGTAGACACAGTCCATAGCATTCCTTCTACAAAGCAGTATAAGCCAAGGGTGCTTCTACTAATCTTTCAAACTAATCGGTGGCAACATCCAAAACATTACAAGAGTGACTTACTACTGATGTACTGGAGTACATGTACCAAAGTCAGTTTAGCACTGTGGCAAATACGAAAGATGTCATAAATTCACTGCGTGATCTTCAAAGATTTCTTCTTTAACTGGGTATGGATACAATGTTCCATATACTCAAAAAATCAAGTGGAGTAGCAAAATGGTAAACACTGTTTAAATTTTAATCATTAAAAATAAACGGGGAGGGGGGATGCTGAAGAGATGACTCAGAGGTTAAGCGCACTGACTGTTCTTCCAGAGGACCTAGGTTCAATCCCCAGGCCACAACTGTCCATATGACGTCTCTAGACTCCATCGACACCAGGCAGAAATGTGGTGCAAAGACATATACACAGGCAAAACATCCATACAACATGTAAGTCTACAAATAAAAAACCTTGATGAGTTGGACAAGCATCCTCCCTAAGCATACAATATTACTTAGCAAACGACAAAACAAGCACAAAAAGTCTTACTCATGGTCACAAACAAAGTATCAGAGCCAAAACTGGACCTCACAATTAGAAGCCACAAAGGCTAAGATCTCAGAACTAAGCTGCATATAATGTTTTTAGAAGATCTGGAAAGTCTTTAAATTGCATGAAAACTCATCAAAAGAATAAAACACAATTGGGTGGTACTGCTATATACTTTTAATCCCCTCATGTGGGAGGCAGAGGCAAGTGGATCTGTGTTTGAAGTCAGCCTGGTCTAATAGAACTTGATTCCAGGACAACCAGGTCAACACAGAGAAACCTGGCCTTGAAAATCCCAAATAAATGTATAAATGAATAAATAAAATGCAAAGCAAAAAGACCTTGAAATGTGTCCGATGTTGGTGGGAAATCATGTTTTGATGGAGTAACTGCTAGAGTAGGAACAAGAGGGTAGGGCCTAAGGTCAGTAATGCACGAGTCAGCAACCTCAGTAGGGAGATGAGTTCCATTTGTGAGTCGTACACTTAATAGCTGTCTGATTCAAAGTATAGCAGTTATTATCTAACAAGTTCATCATCTACCCATGAACTCATAATATATACAAAAAAATCAAAATTTTTAAACAGCCATTCTTTGAAACAATAAAAATAAATTCTATTAAGACCAAACATGGTTTAAATTTAATGGTAAAAATCAGATTTATCTTTCTGTCAAGAAGAAAGGCTTCAAAATTTAACAGTAGGGTTAAATCGAGCTAAGGGACACAACCAGAGATCATGACAAAAGGATTCATGTATATAACAAAACAAACAAAAAAACAGGGAATGTCAATAACATAAAATCTTTTCAAAACTCACTGACACTTAATCTACCTAGAAAAAAACATAATTAGTAAAACAATGTAATCTAATTTACCTATTCTTATTCTGAAAATGGTGAAAATTAGAAAGTTTGATATATTTTTAAACAAGTCATTTTAAAATTATTAGACAATCATATTTAAATTTCATTTTTACTTTTGGCTAAAGTATTAATTAGTGACTATGTTCAAAAGTGTCTGGATGCAATAGATTCCCTTTTTATTGGAAGGGTTGTCTATTTTTTAAAGATGTTTCTGTCAATTACATAAGCCTGGAAGCTATTTTGAAATTTCATAGTAACATTTCAAAATATGTATGTGTGCATGTCTGTGCACATATGTATGTACAGAGATATACTTTAATAATGTAGCAGTGGCTGACCTGCAACTCTCTACGTAGATCAGGCTGGCCTTCAATTTGGAGATCTAACCAGGAAGTTAAGGAAAACTCCAGTGAAAACTAGATGGCTTTTAAGGAATAATTTGATTTTTAAATAGCCGAAATTGGGGCTGGAGAGGTGGCTCAGTGGCACTAACTTCTCCTCCAGGGGACCTGGGTTCAATTCCCAGGACCCATATGGCAACTAACAACTAACTATCTGTAACTCCAAGATCTGATGCCCTCACAAAGACAAACATGCAGGCAAAATGTCAACACACATAAAATAAAAATAAATAAAATACCTGAAACTATATTAAAAGAAAAAAGCCCCCCAAAAATAATGTAAAACTGCAGGCTGTGACCTGAGAGCATAATCACAAATACCTAAGTTAACTTAAATAGACTAAGGATGCTTCTCTGGCCATTGCCAGTATCTTCAAAGTAGTAGTATGGATCCTTACTTGAGAAGCACCCTCAATTAGTATCAATGGCCTAAAATCTAACTTTCCATGCAAAACCCACATGAAGTAAGTCCAAGAAAATTATTTCTGAATGTCAAAACCTTACAGGTTAAAATGATGTTTTAAAGCATGGGGACCTGAATCACGTGCTTTTGGGTTTCAAATTCACTCCTACACCAGTTCTCTCATCAGTGAAAAGGGATAATTATATTACCCACCTTGCCAGAATCTAGTTAGTATCAAACACAATGGTAATCACATAACCACCTCAAATCAATAAAAATAAAATCATAAAAGGCTGCTGAAAAAAGTTTAATATCCTCACAAAAGAGTCCTTAGGCCAAAAACAGCATTAAAGGTCAACTGTTTCCAAGTAAAATGGCTCCATGGTTAAAGCATAGACCACATGATCCGGCAGACCTAAATACAACCCTAGGTAGCTATGGAAAGGTGTAGAGAGAAACCCAAATCCACAAAGCTGTCCCCAGACCTCTATAAAAGTACCATGGCACCCGTGTGTCCCACACATTCTACACACACAAAAAAAAGTTTTACTTTCCTTTTATAGGCACAATCTTACCTATATAATTTTGAGATCATTGAAGATAATATCAAAAAACACATTATATATAATAGGCCAGTGGTCAATGTACTCAAATCTGAAAAACTATGGAAAATACAAAATCTCTTAAATGTTTTTAAAATTCAGGATTGGGAGGCTGCTGTTAGGTGTTTTGTTTTGTTTTGAGACAGGAGCTCTCTATGCAGCCCTGGCTTTCCTAGAACTCTCTTAGGATGGACTTGAACTCAAAGAACTCTCTCTCCATCTGCCTCTGCTCTCAAGTGCTGGCATTAAAGGCATGTTCCACCACACCTGCCAATTCAGGATTATTAATATGAACAAACACACTAGCCATATGAGATCATAATGCTGGATACAAAATTTTATAATCACGTATTTCTAAGTACAGAAATAAAAGCAATTACCTTTGTACAATAAAGCATCCAAAGTTCAAAGAGCCTATCTCTGGCTGCCATTCTGGCTTTCCACTTTGGCACTTCAGTATTTCCTCAGAAAGAAGGTTCAAGACCACAGCATGTTATTTTATTTTTCAAGTTTCTCAGCCATTGCAGTAAAACTCAAAGCAGGGGGATAAACAAGTAAAACAAATAAAACTGTCTCGGGTCAGTAAAGGTCAATTTCAGCAGCCACTCTCCCAACACATCTTCATCAGTAGTAGCTGGGCTTGTAAATAAGTCTGTGAAATACAAAAATACCCAACGTTTTTCTAAATCCATTTTTTAATCCAAATATTTGTCTGCCTTGCTTACCCAATAAAAGGGATAATTTTCTAATCTGATTGGATCTCAGAGAAGCTGTTTTGTACACCGCGACTAACATCAACATAAAGTACTAAAATCTTCCAGGCATGTTCACCACCAAAACTACAATAGATGGGAAGAGAAAACTACTCTCTAATAACGTGTTTGCCTTTACTTAAAAGACCAGGAACACGGATCAAACATCAAATCTCTGCGATCTCTAGCCTGCTACTTAAAAGTTGCTGGGAATGTTTGCAGCGTAGCAGGGCAGGGCGTGGGGGAGGGCCGGAGGAATTCCTGGTTTGTTTGTTTTACCCATCCGCACCGTGAACGTTACCCCTGTCTACCTGGACCCTACCTCTCCACGCGAGAGGAAAGGAGCTGGCACCCCGAGGCAGGGACCACCTCCGGGGGAGCTCCCCGCGTCCCCGCTAAGAGCAAGTACGACAAACGTCAGGCACGCCAATCAACTCCAACCGGCCCCAGCCGGACCCGCCCGGGCCGGCCGCGCCCCTCAGGCTGCAGCCCCGCGCCCCCCCCCCCGCGCCCCTCCGCGCCCCGGCCCTCCGCTCTCCCGCTCGGCGCCCGGCAGCCGCCTCCGCCCGACCTCCGCGCCCCCTCACCGCGCTCAGGCCTGCCGCCGCCACCCAGCCGCGGGCTAACCTGCTGCCCTCCGCCCTGCCGGGCTAAGCCCCGTGTCAACCCGAAGCCGAGCCGGCGGGAGGCGGGGGCGGGAGGAGCCGGGGGCGGAGCAGCCCCTCGGCTAACCATTCCGGCGCCTCGGGATTTACCAGGCCCTCCGGCCGCCGCTCCTCAGGGGCCGCTCGGCGCAGAAGCCCCGCCCCCGGCATGCTCGCGCAGCCGCAGTGCGCTCGGCTCCTGGGCTCTGCGGGCGGCCGGCGCCAGCCTGGGCTCTCAGGTCAGTATTTTCCCAGCTGGACGTGAGGACCGACGTGCTGACGTCGCGCCCCGCCCCTGCTAGGTGGGGCGGACGGAACGTCCCTCGCCTGGCGCCTGCATTGCCTCTGCAGATCAGCTGAGGGCCAGGGACTCTATGGTGACATCTAGAGAGGATTTCGATTTGATTTCTTTGTAGCCATGCGATTGGTCCTGGGACACACCTCCAAGACAAAAATCTTTTCCTTTACTTGTGTTGGTGCCTTTGTACTATGTCTGTGACTATTCCAAGGATATTGCTCCACCTAGAACTTAGAATCACTTCTGTCTTTCAAAAAAGAAGCAAAGGGCAAGACTCTGTTATTAGCCCCACACAACATTCATAAGGGTTTTGTTGTTGTTGTTGTTGTTTGAAAGGAGGGGAAAAGCGTAAGATTAACCATCTTTTAAATCTAAAAATTTTAAAACACTATTGTGAAAACGTTACTCAATGTTATAGCTCAGCTTAGTATCTGAGATACCCTATGTTTGATTCCCATCAAGCACAATGAAGTAAACTTAGCAAAGTGAACTTCCATAAGGAATCACTCAGCTTCAGAAATGATCAAAGACTTTCAATCACGACAGAGTTAAGGGTGAGGGTGTGGGGATTAGAGGCGTGAACCTCTAAATCCACCTGCTAAATCCAGATTCTTTCAATAATACAGAGATGACTTTGTTACTGATGCTATCTTCCTAAGTGAGAAAGTCATACTGTCTTTACAATAAAAGTTTTTTTATTAAAAATTTCCACCTCCTCCCATTTCCCTCCCCCTCCCCCTTTCCCCTCCCCCTCCCCCTCCCTCTACAGTCCAAAGAGCAGTCATGGTTCCCTGCCCTGTGGGAAGTCCAAGGTCCCCCCCCCATCCATGTCTAGGAACGTGAGCATCCAAACAGACTAGGCTCCCACAAAGCCAGTACAAGCAGTAGGATCAAAACACAATGCCATTGTCCTGGTCTTCTCAGTCAGCCCTCTTTGTCCTCCACGTTCAGAGAATCGGTTTTGATCACATGCTCGTTCAGACCCAGTCCAGCTGGCCTTGGTGAGCTCCCATTAGATCAGTCCTGCTGTCTCAGTGGGTTGGCGCACCCCTCAGGTCCTGACTTCCTTGCTCATGTTCTCTCTCCTTCTGCTCCTCATTTGAACCTTGGGAGCTTAGTCCAGTGCTCCAATGTGGGTCTCTGTCTCTAGCTTCATCCATCGCCAGATGAAGGGTCTATGGTGATATGCAAGATATTCATCACTAATGAAAGTGTTTTATAAATATTTCTGTTGTGCAATTTCATCTCTCTATGATATTTTTCACATAAATAATATTTAAAAGACATGACGTTTTAAAAAAAGACAGAGGGTAAGACATGCTGACTAACCAGAATTCAGGAGTTTTTGACAGCTTCTGAAATCTTTATTGTTACAGACTACATCAATATATTCAATGCATTTTCGGCTCTATTTAACTATATTATTATTATAAAGTAAGAAATGAAGTAATATTAAAAAAATTCAAAGATATACCATTTTACAGTGAGAAAAACAAAAATCCTTACTGAGGAATAATATTAGAATCGACCAAATGTTTTCAACTAGGAAGTATAAGAATTAATAGAAAGACATAAGATCTATGGAGCAATTTCATTTCTAACCTTTCTAAAAACTGTTGATAACATCTTAAATCCATGGGCATACAATAAGAAGGGCAGAAACATTAACTGTTGTGCAAGTATAAACTGGTAAATAGTAACAATAGTGAAAAGCAAATGAGCAACATGTACCATGAGTCTTAACAATGTTCCTATCATTTTTAGCTCTCTATATTTTCTACTTAGTTGCAACTTTTTAATACAAATTTTCCTACTTTTAAAATCATTTGGGTCTACTCTATGCCCTATGACTAGGAATTCTACAAAAAATAGAGTTCCATTTATAAAACTTCAAAGTGTTA